GGGGTAGAATTTACTTCTCGAGGCACACAAAGCCGTCTCGAAAAGCTAGTGAGTTCAACGTTTATCGTGATGCTGCTGAAATTGTCGAAACCTCATTTGCTGGGGAAAATTTTGAGGAGTCAGTGAGTGCACTTAGACACGCAAAGTTAGTCGAAAGGCGGAAGCACAAGTTTTTAGTGCTTAAAAAGAAGTATTCTAAGTATGTTTGGTTTAATACTAGGTTTTTGACTGAACCAGTAATCCTGTAGAGTTGTCTGTACTAACATGGAGGGCAAAGGAGCAGGTCATGTTCTTGCTGAGTGGTGACGAAGGTATGGACTTTGAACAAATATCCAAGTCGTTTCCAATAACCTCACAAGGTGCTGAAAAGCTTTTTGGGAATAAATCGTCACCTATTTTACAAAAGTCGGGGGATATCAGTTGGCTTTTAAAGCATGATTCTCGCGTTATTGAACGCTGGAGTCATTTGCTCTCGTTCTTGAGCCGGATTTATCGTGGAGGGGAGGATGTTTCGGAATCTTCTGTTTTTGGCATGATACCTAATGGTCTGGCGTGGTTATGTACAAACGCGAAAATGAATCTTTTAATGTACGCAGACGGAAACCCTGAACTTCCTTTTCCGAAAAGACATGATAAAATTGTGAAAAAGGATCATTTATATGGTCATTTTGAGATGTATGCTGCTATGTTTAATAGTATGCCTAAAGATGAACTTTGTGATAAGTATACGCAACATGTTCTCAATCTTCGTAAATTTGTCGAAACTTTTCAGAAAATTAAAAATTCTCCACCCCAAAATGTCCCATTTTCAGGTGACCATCACTCTCCACGGCTTTACAAATATTTGTTAAGTTGTGCAACTGCTGTTAACTCAAAATCTAATAATCAAAAATCGATTTCTCTTCCAAATAATGTAAAGCTCCGTGACTACTACACTAGTCAAAAAATAAAATAGTTTTTCTCGGGATGGTGTTTGTTAATGTCTTTCTGTCCATCAAATAATGTTTACATCACGAGTAAGTTCTGGGATAGCTGACTTGCATCATGTTGCAGCAATCTGATGTATTTGGTGAACACCATCTACATGACTTTGCAAAAGCGTGTGTGATGTCCATTTTTTTAACTGACGCGTCATTCTTTCTGGTAGATCAGGTAAACGCGTGTACAGAAAAATATGAGTTCTTTGACTCTCCTCATTGTCCACGATTAAGTGATTGCTGCAAGCGACATCCTTATCACTCTGTTGTGCTGTATTTTATATTTGTTTAATGCATACAACTGGTTCACTAGTTTTAGTTACTCATAGGAAAACCAGTATCGAATTTCAGAACTTGCTTGTCGCTTTCATGATATTATTATTATTTAAACATAAACATTGGTACAATGGGGCACCAAATAGACATACACTATGTAAGTCGTTCTATTTGTGTGAGGGCTAAGATATTGCCCAGGTACCCAAATCGAAGCAGTTGGTTTTCTTAGGGGCCACTCTGAGCCTTTGACTTAAAGGTCTGGTCCACAAGGCCGTGGAGCAACGCAAGGAGATGCAGTTCCATGGTGTACGGTTCATACGCCATTACTTTCCTTAGGATCCTGGAGCCCATCTACACCATCTGTTTGGAGTCAGAGTTTTTCAACTCCCCTAGGTAGATCCTCCGCATCCACCAACCGGGTAAAACGTCGGACATTCGATTTTCGTCCTCTCAATTTTGTAAACACCGCTGCAAGAAGGCAGTGATTAGGACTTCTCTGGCACTGGCTATAAGCACGTGGCCATGTGAAAGCATTACGAGGGAGATATTTATTTATTTTAACACATAGATATCGGTACAAGAAGGCACCAAATACATATGCACCACACAAATCTCATTTGATATGTGTGAGGGCTGTGATACTGCCCGGGTGCCCAAACCGAAGCAGGTGGTTTTCTTAAGGATCCACAGCCGGAGCCTTCGACCTGAATGTCTGATCCACAAGGCAGTGGAGCATCGTAAGGAGATGCAGTCCCATGGAAGCCGGTGACCAACGATTGGTCCCTACGCCATTTGTTCCTTCAGGATACTGGAGCCCATGTGCACATTGGTTTGGAATCCGGTTAAAGCGATGGACATTCGCTTTTCGTCCTCTCATTTTCGTAAACAACACCCCCGCCACAAGAAGGCAGTGAGTAGGACTTCCCTGGCAGAGGCTATATACGCGTGACCATGTGAGAGCATTTCGAGAGGGAGAGCAGACTCTCTACTCTTGGCCATAATAGGGCATTTGGGGGCAATCTTTGATATAAAATCTCGCTGACGGTTTAGTTCAATGACACCCACGGAATCTGTCATAACTAATTAAAAACCCTAATTTGGTGTTCTGACTTACTGATTTTCTTTGGTTGTTTTTTTTACCATGTCCACTATCTTGAGAACCAAGCTTGACTAGTTAATTTTCAGTTACTACTATTTCCGTCATTTCTCAAACAGTAGAATGATCATAAGTGATATTCATGTTGTCTCTAATTTCCACACGTAAGTAGGTAGGTATTAGGTCAATCCGCTGAAAATGTGTGGCATTTTTCATCCGATGAAAATATAGTAGATTGAGTGAGTTTCCAACCTACAACACATGTTAAAGATGGGATGCCTAAGACCCACTCTAGTTATTGTATTCTTACATAGGCTCGTACACATCGGTCAAGTTCCCGGCTGATTTATATTTTAATTTAATAGCTATCGTTAAAAGCGTCTAGAGACGAACCTTCAGAACATTTGCCTTTTTTAGTCCAATTCTTTCAGAGCTTTTATGATAGTAATAGTGATATAATGTTAATGCTCCACTCAAAGTGTTGGTTCAGTGCCCTATTGAGTCGTTTAGAAATTAAAATTTTCTGTTCTTTTAATATTTCAAGCTACTTTCCTCAAGAGTAACGTACTTTTTCCAGAGGCAATTCAGTTAAACGTTGCTGCTTAGGCACATACATGAGCAGTCCGAAAAGTCCAAATAATCAGTTGTGTCACTTAAAGATTGGGTAAATAGGATCATTGGTTTTATGTTTGTTTCCAGGATAATTTAATAAAGTTCAGTGCGCCTGACAGAATTTTAGCATTCCATTCTTTTTCGCGGTTTCTGGAATTCCACCTTGCATCGTTTTCGAAAACTATATGTGAAGATAAATTTTAGTAAACTAATGGCGTCAATTTTCTTATTAGTCATAGATAGAAAAGAGGAAAAAATAACAGAAATCATGGATTTATAAAACCAGATAAGTACATATGTACTCAAATAATTGTTTTGAATCCCCAGACAACCTTACTGTTAGTGGAAAACCTGAAAGTGTGGTTCTTAGGGTCTGATTATGCACATCAACAGAGAAGCTAGCTATGGTACAAGTTCTTTTCAAACCATCTTCAGGCATTAAGACTTCGATAAATGGCCATCTATATCAATATAGCGCAACTAATTCCCGGTGGTATATAACCTCGGCCACCACATTAAGGCAGCGGTTGTCTGTCTCGAGTATTGATCTGAACATACTATTTCTAAATACGGGTTCATGAACTGAAAAACGTTTCAAGTATTTTTTTCTAAAACGTCCCACAATTCTAGTTTTTTCAGTGCTGGCAGTGACAGTATAAAAACCTAATTGTTGCTGAAATTCGTTTTCTTTCATCTACCTACCATAAAACCGTATTCATCACAAAATTCCACTGGTCCCTAAACATCTTCGGATTTTGTATGATTGTCTACATATTTCTTCACCTCAGCTGGTGCAAATAAAAAAATGCAGTTTGCCAGTGTTTCAATTTCAGGCAAGATAGCAGATAGTTATTAGTAAAAGCCTGTTCCGCATTTTACATAGCTGTGACAGTACTTTTTTAAACTCAGCTCAACAGTTCGTAGTTTGCTAAGACATACTAAGGTACGTTACACAGGACTGATGTATGTCGAAAGCCTTCATTGAATATTCTGTCTAACGTTAGCAGCTGAGATAGTTTGAAATTACTTTTAAGGATTGGTTTTAAATGCTATCGTCGTTAGAGGTCATTAAGAATGGTACAGCATCTGTGATTGGGAATAATGGCCAGATTTTCGATTCATCGGGTAAATTTAGCCATATAAATGATACTGATTGATGGGACTGCTGGTTACACGAAGTCCGTTTAATGTCTAAAATACAAAGTACGTATCTCGCATATATTGTGTCTAGATTCTTTTATGGTCAGTGAGGTCATTTTAGTTTCCTTATAAGTTTTATTATAACTATTTACCAATAAAAATAGATGGTACATCAAATATTTCAGGAGAAAGGCATAATCTAATCTCCAGATGAATTCTATTCTCACACTCTTAATTACGTCTTATTTTATTGCGCCTTCAAACAATAGAGAGAATTTAGTTATAATGTGAATTATTTAAACCGAACTATCATACTGATGTAAACGATCTGGATCTTCGATCTCCAGGATCTACTTAATCTTGAACATGAGGTAATTTCAATTTCGATGAACAATATATGCATTTGATCAGTTGTACCTTTTTTGCATATATATAATTCCATGCTGTATTGTAAGGGTTTTACTGTCCGTACTTTGATTATTCTAACTCTATATTTAACTTGGATTAATCTACTTAAATAAACATCGAGAATCCCCTAGGTTTCGAAGACATATTTTCCATCAAGCGAATAACTGAATTTCCGTCGGTGGTTACATAACTTCACATTAATTTACAATACTTGCGAATCCTTTACTACTCAATATCGTTCAATGATTTGTTCTGAGATACCAGTTTTAAATGTCAAATAAAGACTAACTTTTCTATTTCACTTGCAGTAACCCTTGGCCAATCATTTATGAGGACAGGAACTAAAGTTTTAAAGTGGTGACTATGCTTAGGAATCGCACAATATACAAGATATTATAATTATCATTACAGAGGTTTAATGTGGTACTTTAAAGTAATTTGATCATTGGGTAGATTGTTAGTAATAAAAATAGTGATATGCTCTTAATGTCACAATAAATAAAAATTTAAGTTCCTGAAGTTTTACGACTTATTTTAAGTAAGATTTTCAAGACGAATGAATAACTAAACGTATTAAATTAACGCAAGTTTAAATATCTCAGGGCAACAAAGAGAAAATATTTAGTGTAACCAAACCACATCTCACGCCATCAACCTACATTGAAATTCAATTCTACTCTTTCACACTATAAATATTACATTTTTACACCCTCATTAACGTACAAATTACTTTTTAGTCGTAACATCCGCATTATTTTTATTTAAGCAATTATATTTACATTTGAAATATTCCATCAAGAAATTCTTTTTATATAATTATGTAATCTTTTATCTGATCAATAGCTTTCTTGGAATGTGTGATATCGGATATACACTCAACTGAATTTCTTTTCAAATAAAGTTGACATCATTAACTAAAAATTATACTGACGTAATTCTATCTTTTATCTTTCTCTATGAAGGGATATTTACACAGCTTCGCCTGGGCTTCCTCAGGATTTATCATGTCGTAAACAATTCGTATTAAAAAATGAATCCCAAAAATTACCGGCTATTCAGGAAGATTCAGAAGCATGTTTACCTCCAATTGCTACATTTAGCCATCATGTACGATTTTCCTCTTCGTTTAAAATGATATAACTGTTAATCAAGTTTATATAAATATGGTTTTTATTTATTACTAGTTTTAGATATGATACAGTTAATTTTTAGATAAAAGTTGAAAGAATATCAAATGTCTTATTCAAATTTATTTAAAAATGAACCAGAAACAACGTCTTACATGAACACATCATCTTAACCCTTTACTTCTCAGTTTAGTTGTAGGTTAGATAATCTCAAGAACGTATTTTTCCAGTCTTTAAGTTCAAATCCTATCAGTAATGATAAATAAGTGAATGTAATTTTATCTTTCATTTCATTTAATACTTAAATGATAGACCTTGTTTATACAAATACATTTTGAAGGTTATTGTTTAGCTTGAAAATGACTTCTCTTTTAAATTCATATCATGTAAAAAAAACTATTGAAAACCAGGAAACACTAGACAGCGGTATCTTTCTAGTTGGAGACTTTAACATCGCATATCCACCCCATGTAAAATCGATCCCAGGAGTTGCATATTTCGCTACCATTACAATATATTTATGATTATTTGAGTGTATTTAGTGATTTCCAATCTAAGACGTAAATTGCTGTTCAGTCCTCCTTAGTTTTCAGTGGTTCCCTAGTGTTATTATTTTCTATGGAAAACTATAGGCATCCTGTTCTAATCCCTTCACAATTCACCTTAGTGGATTATTATTTATTTCTGAGAAATTACTGGATGAGAATTAATGTAACTGAATTTTATGCGTGATATACTGATGAACGTTTCATAAAATGAATATTGATCATGCATATTGCTTTATTCGTTTCCCTCCTAATGCCTCACAGCGACAAAACCGTACTGGTCCTTGTTCCTCCTACGTTGGTAAGTCAGTGAAATCGGTTGGTCGGAAGCATCAAAAGCAATCAAGATCTAGACGTGCTGAGAATAAACTTTACTGCAATTGGCCACAATGTCCGCGATTCCTTCTAAAGCAGCCTTTTAAACAAATGTAACTATTTGTATATATTAAATAATCCTGTTCTGGGAATTTATGACTGTCAAATTGTTTTTTAGAAAATGTATAAACCCTGTACAGCTTTTAATCGATGGTATTCTCCCTACCACTATCGATTTCATTGTTATTTGCATCAATGACATCACTATATAGCTATAAATGGTCCATAATGTTCTGTATAAGAGCTCTCTATCGGATCCAGGACTTGATGTTTAGTTCTATTCAGATACTTGTTATCTGCACATTTCGATATCCTAATATATGTGTTCTTTATAATACCATAACTCTATATACATCGCTTCAAACAACAGGGTATTATTGTCTACGGTTCTGAATCGTGATGGTTACCAACGTGTTTATTCATAATGGTCTGCGCTTTCTTATTGAGGATATTCGGGACTAGATCGATCAGTTCATGTTGACATTAAAAACGATGATGATCATCATAAAATATTAGTGGGACATCATCCTGCCCTAGAATTATGTTATTGATGAGTCTCAGATGGAACGAAGTCAGTTCCATGGTCTACAGCAAAATATTACAAAATTTGCATATTTAAGCAGTGTTAAGATACCCACCTAAAACTCTATATGACATCTCTTCAGCCCTTAATATTAACAAATTAGGAGTTAAACACTTAAACTTATGTATAGTCCCGTAGTCAGTGGTTTAATAAGTTCACTTTGCACATAAGTTGCAAATAATCTTTGGTTTTCCATAATCACTTTTAGGTTGAACGTATATAATATTATCACTAAGCTGTCAAATATTTTTTACTCAATATTTTTATTTTAAAACCAAGTTTATATGATTTCTGATTCGAATCGGTCCATGTTATAGTCGGATACAAGTGTGTTACACTCACCACATTTTGAATTGAAGAAAAAGTGTTTTCAATTTTGATAGTTTCCAGGACGACAAATAAACTTCTCAATTATACCACTCAGCTGTGAGAACAGGATACTACGTAAATCTGAAATACAGCCGGATTCTGTAAAGAAGAGTGCTAATTACGGAATATGTCATCTATTAATAAGTATTTTTGTAATTTCTTCCGTTATAAGCTTATTCTTAATTAGATAAACAAGTATAGAAAATATAGAAAATAGCTATTGTTTACCTCTGTCAAAAGTTCATTTATCTAACCATTGAGACTGGCTTTTATTTATTTTCGGAAAGTTGAGTTAATTTATCTAGTATCTCACTGATTTAATTGTTGAAAATATTTATATCTATCTACAAAAACAGTTCAGACATTTAATACTTGTTACATTCTTTCACCTTAACTTTGTGAAATTCTTATGTCGGTTTAGCCCACATTTAATCTTAAGGGTCGAATTTATCATTACTTATACTTTGTAACATTTTATTATCATGATAGATAAAATAATTTTTATCATGAACTGACATTGTACAAAGTATGGTTAGAAACAATGGAACATTCGAAAGCTATTTCACTCTACTAGGGATTCCTCAAATGTATGCACAATCTACTCTTCATGGGATCGGACAGAAAAACCCTCAGATTTCATGATAATACATTCAAGCTATTGAGTGGGAATTCAGCTATTTACTTTTGGTTAGTTTATTCTGACCACTGTTTAGTGTTATTGCTGTATAACTATTTCACTTCCAAGAACATCGGCTATACCATTCCTAGCTCCTCTTTAGGTGTTCGAGAAATTTGTGTTACAAAAACAGTCACTGATGAGCATATAGTCATTTATTAGTTAGTCTGGTAGAAACTTTACTCAAATTTAAATAAATTTCCATAAACCTCTATATTAATAAAAAAATTCCGAATTTTGTCAGTGAATTTCATTCATTCTTTATCTATTCAAGGACTCATTTGAAACGTCATTTACTTTTACATAAAAATCATTTAAATCTATCGTGTTCACAGTGTGGAAAACGCTTTAGTTCGAAAGAAAATCTTAAAAGGCATGCAAATGTACATTCAGGTAATTATTTATTTGTACACATATTATTACTCTCCTCCTTTCTGTATTGATGTATATGCGATATTTGCGCATACACAATCACTTTACTTTGGAGAAAAATTAACTTGGTCTGGTCACCAATTAATTATTTTGTACATATTTACTAGCTTAAATCCCCTAATATATGTTCATCTAATCATTCTGCTTACCAGTAATCCTTATTTCTGAAATTTATTTTGAAATTTGTTGGTCGATTCTGTGAGGAAATAATCATTTTGGTTGTTATAACTGCATATTTTATTGTCATCCAGTCTAGATTAATTGTACTATTATGTAACTTAAATAACTGCCTCAATCGTATATTGCTCTGAGTGTATACTCTCATTTCTGCATAGGCTGCTTATACCTTGAATCAAAAACGATAAGGGAATCAGAAAAAAAGGGTTAAACAGATTTGATTGATTGATGATTGTTAGATTTAGTAGTGATTTGGCTTATACCCTAGTTGTATTATAAATCAAGAAACATTGGACTGATAGTTCGTTTGGATTTGAAACTGTTCAACAGTACGCACCTTTTTCTTATGGCTTGTAATGCACTAATGTGATTTTAATCTGGTTGAAAAGGTTGGGCTTACGAAGTGTTGATGAGAGCAGCTGTGATATATGCTTGTAAAGCCTAGCTACCCTTAGCGGAGGATGTTCGGTGACTCTCTGTCTTCTGTCATTATTGTCTCCGAAGGATCGCCAACATCTAGTCTTAATACCTTGTCAGTAATACAGAGATTCGGCATCCTGAAACATTGGTTTCGGTGGTTTAGATATGCTTCATGAATGTTGTACTGGACGATCCTACATCGTACGTTGATTACTGATGTTAGGACTGGTTGGGAAACTATTTTGAGGTCAGTTTATGTCATGTAGCCGTTGTATGGGGGATAGAATAGGGCTAGAATCTATCGACCCATCACGACTCTCAAGTTACGATCCTAGTGATGATGTGACTCAGTGGTTTGTGACTTTATCAGATACAGCTCTGAATGGAAGCTGGCAGTAATTCTGCTGTGGCTTTCTTTTACATTCTACATGATTAAGAGAAACTCCCCTAATTGAAATAAACCTACTTTGATTGTATTTTTGATTGAACTTTATCTCCTATTATAATATGGTTCTTGTTCACTTATTATTTTTGTTGTGTTTCCTTTCAGCTTCATATTTTTTTATAATCTTATATCATTATCTTTGTAGCGCATACATTTTTAGTACCCTGATGCTCCAGATTTTTCGTATATTGGAAAAAAATTATAATACTTCCCTGGGTAGTATTTGTTTGTCGTGAAAATTATCTTCTAAATATTTCGGTTTAGCAGTATTTAATGAATGTCTACTTTTATTCTCTTAGGTTTAAAACCATATATGTGTTCAATTTGTCATCAAGCGTACTCTAGAACATCAGAAAGATCCAGGTGTATGAAGAAGCATCATTTTGAAGATAAATATTTATCTGAACAGGATAAACAATGTTTGTATAAAGATGTTTATAATGATTGGGATTCTTCTGGTTTATCTGCTTTACAAATCGAAGATAAAATTAATCAATCTCGTCCAAGACCATATATCTGTCAAATATGTAATGATCACAGAGCGTATACAGATCCAAGTTCACTTAGAAAACATATGCGCTCTTATCATGCACACTTGAAAGATGAAAAATCTATAACTAATAATGATTCTACCAATGAATCTGTTATGTCTAAATCAAAATTATCTGTATGTTTAAAATTAATTTGCAAATTTAACTTGTTTTTCACATTTCGGTTAGTTTTACCAAAAGCAAAAAACAAACAACAACTTGGTTTACATAATTTTATTTAAGTTGTACGTAACATTACTTATTATTATTTATTTGAACACATAAATATTGGTACAAGAGGGCACCAAATATATATGCGCCACACAAAACAATGAGAATTTGACGAGAAGAAGGAAAAAAGGTAAGGAGCGTAAAAGAAAAAGAAAGAAAAATAACGAACAGATTAGTGTAATAATAATAATGAAGAAACAGAAACGTACAATCAGAAGAGATCTTTCAGTTAAGGAAGAAGTAACTACGTTTTATGGAGAAAGTTAAAGAAGGTTACAGCAGGATCTCCACTGGCTTCTATTCTGAGCCATATCTGATAACTTCTCTAGCCACTGTGTTGCACCATCTCTCGGACCCCAACCAGGTAGTCGAGAAGGACCAACAGAAGCCAGTCCTTTACAGCTTTCTTTCATACCACGACACCATGTCATATACTGACCACCTCTCCGCTTCTTCCAACCAGTCCCAGATTCGGCAAATAATACACGACGAGGAATTCTCTGGGACGACATTCGTAGAACATGTCCAAGCCACTGAAGTCGGTGTTTCAAGATGGTGACACCAATTGCATTATCGTTTCTGTGCCCGAACACACGTAACATTACATTTTTCCTGTTCACAAAATTATGTTAAAATTTGTAAACTTTACTGAAATAATAAAGTATCTATCTATTAAATATAGAAATATTGAGAATGTGGCATGAATAAATCATGGAAAGTAGTGCATATTTCTCATAGAATGGTTATGGAACAGTTTGAACATTATGACTGTAATTATAAAAATGGATTTTTACAATCCCACAGTTATTTATCATTTCATTAAATTATTTATTTAACATCTAACGTAATACTGACATATATGAATTGCTAAAACTTATCACAAAATGAGTATGAATTCAAATTGATTGTATTTTATCAAAATAAATCTCTCCTTAAGTCTAAACTTGCCTTATACATCAACAAAGAGAAAGTACTTGTCAATTTTCGATTGTCTAGGCAACTTCAATTTCTAATATGCCATTGTGTAATTTCTCATATTTGATCCTTAATCAGCATAAGTTACTAGTGAAAATTGTAAGTAGATCTATAATTCTTACATTTATCACCTGGTTCACCTAATTAATGCAGTTAATGTTTACTTTAATAAAATTTATGTCTCTATCCTATTCTCAGCTTCTTTTGCGATATGTAATCAATTTTGCAAACAAGTTGTACTAATTCCACCATCCTTATTGATTTCATTTACTCTACAGTTATATTTTTTGGCTGAGTTAGTAGTTTTTATTGCTTGACGGAAAATTTGTATAAAATTGTTGTCAGGTAGAAGGGGGAGTTATTGACCCAGTAGCATCTTGCCACAATTATACATCTTGTTGTATTAATATTATTTCTGAAGTTGTATGAAGCTTTTTTTAAAATTTTTCCATTCTGAACCAATTTAACATATAATTTATTTGTTTATGTTTTGCATTACAGAAAACTCTTCCATGTGAAGAACCTATAAGTCTTGTACTCGCTAATTCAACCACTGATGTAGACGCAGTTGATCCATCTCATTTGTCATTTGATAATTCATTCAATCCAGAATCTAAATCATTAATACTTACAAGTGAATCAGTTTGTCCTATGATTATTACTCCATATAATGTTTTAACAACGTCTATGACATCATCAGAAATACCTGTTACTACTAATGTTATGATTTCTTTTAATAAAAATAATAATAATAATAATAGTGTTATCACGGAATCAAATATTTCAACAAATATTGTTACTACACCTAGGTATCATTTGTTATTAACGTCAGATTCTGTTGTATCTTCAACAATGATGACGGTGATTTCAATGACATCAACCACTACCACTAGTACTGCTACTACTACATTAAGAAATGAATATGATAGCGATGTTGCTGTGGATTTATGTAATTCAGCTTTATGCCTACAAGTTTATTCCGATAAAGTGAGTATTGAAATGAAAATTTCAATAAAAAGTTTGTTGTTTTTTCTTGAAGAAGTAGTAAACTTCATTTTCGATGACATATAATCAACCAAACAATTACAATTATATTCTTCTAACGATATTCTTTCTTCAAAATTGCCAAATCAAATCTTGCCTAATATTTACTTATTACTGACAACTTTTATCAGTAGTTAGATTTTAGTTTTTGAAAAATACCCATTGAAAAAACAAATACTTTTCTACTTATCAGGTAACAGTTTGAAATGTTCATACGATTTACCATTGAACGGTTTTATTTCATGAGAGCTTTCGATTTCACTCATGATACATTAGAGTTTAAAATTATGCAGTTTGAGTGGCTATAATCTTTTAATTCATTTTGTGCTGTTTGTTTGGATCTTCCTATTGATGTTGAGGACTTCAGTTGATTCGTCTTATTGGCATATATGCATCCTATGTGGATTGCATCGATATTTCCTTAAGTTGCGTCCTAGATTCCAATTCTAGCCACCACTCATCTTTACTTATAATACTTGCGACTTATAACAATATCGAGACAATCCGAACAGGATGCAAATATTCCAATAAGACTGATCAATTTTGATCATAAACATCAATGTGAAAATTCGGACAATAAAAAACGAATTAAAACTCCACCCTATTGCGCAAGCTAGTAGCTCCCAGGACTCAGTCGCGTAGTGGATAACGCGATGGCGTGTGAAGTGAACGGTACTGGGTCCGAGTGCCAGAATTAACATCAGCTCTGAGATGCAAGTACATCCAGATGAAGAGTCCCAAATAGGATGAGACGCACGTCCTGGATTCCACTGCTAGCCACCATCCATCTTTAGTTATGATCCTTATTGTTGATAAGTAAGTCAGATTTAGCAATACATCAGTCAGCGATCAGTTCTAAAAAATGTAAGTGCCTAAAGGTTGTTAGAAAAGTGATGAAGTTTTAATTAAGTAAAAGATTCTTCATAAGCACAGAACATCTTTTATGGTAACTTGGAAATTATTGCAACCATCTTGCATAGTGAATTTGTGGTTCAATCATCTCGGCTTGCGACGATTACGTTACGGGTTAATATGTCACTTTTTCCTGATTTTATATGAATAACGAGTTAGTATTGTAACTCATTCTACTACCACCCGTGTGACTCTATTGTGTTCTACAGTTGTGAGATAATTACTGAGAGCTAAAAATTACAGGGAATCGGTGGATGTCAACCAACAAACGACAACTACTCTTCACCTGTTGTTTGGTCACAGAGGTATTACGTAGGGAACGTCTGGTATTATTTTTTGCAAGTGAGTTCTAATTATTTTCACAAAGTACAATGTTATTTCACAGCAACCAGTATTTACAGTTTGCTGTTGCTGACTTTGGAAAACAGAACAAAATAACATGTTACAAAACGAAGCAATAAGTGATGCAAGTGGGTATATCATTGTTGAAATTATGTGAGTTCTGTGTCTATAGAGACATTACAGTGCTTAGAAATATGGATCTTAATTTTGTTACAAAAGTTATTTCTTATATCGACTTAAAGCTTAGCACACAAATCTGTCTATGGCTTCGAAAAATAACAATAAATGTAGTCTTTCTAAGTGGAAATAATAAAACCTAAAGTTGTCTGTCGTTCTTATTGTTTTTTCTATGTATATATCGATTATTGAGATTTCTTGTGAAAAATAAGAATAATATCTAGTCTATACAGTAACAAAGAAGTTTACATTACAATCAGTTGCAACTATTTTATATGTAATGTGTCTTTTGTGCTGTTCCACGAAAAAAGAATGTAATTATACTTAAGTTATGTGAAAGTCATTTATTGGTTAAAGAATTCAGTATTTAAATGTTATTGCTTTGAATTGCCCTCCAACTATTATCACTATGCCTTTAAAATAGAAAGAATAGGTAACAAATTTATTAAAACACAATTGTATGAACGAAGAATATTCTTTTCAATAATTTCTCATCAGGTTCTACAATTATAAATCCAGATTAATAATCCATAAAATTGACCAAATTTAAGACAAAATACATCATCATTTGGAAATTGTAATATGTAAATCAGGAATTGTTTGTTATATAAAATAAAATCGTTAATGTTGGGACGACTAATATGAAGTGTTAACTTGAATCAGTTTATAAGTGAAATGAAATTGTGAGATAAATTATCAAAATAAATATGGTCAACATGGGGTAAGAGAGAGAGAGAGAGAATATTGTGATTACAAATCGGAAATTGCGTAATATGTAAAATAATTAGATCAAATATAGTAAATTCAGGGGTGGATATTGAATGAATTCCTCAAAAAGGGTTATCAAGTGTAAAGACAATAATAATAATAATAATAATAATAGTAACAGTAATAATAATAATAAGTTTGGGACATAAAATGAACATTAATCAGATTACGTCACCACATTTTAAGATTGATTATTAGCTAGTTGGCCAGGGTAAAAGGAGTGGCTGAACATACTTCTTTTGGATACAAAGCTCTGGCTTTTTGATCCGAATAGCAATTGCTTCAGCCGTCTGTAGGATTCGCAGTCTGACGGAATTAGGTAGACTGCTGTTGACACGATAGATTATTGCAAAAGATTGCTCCATGTTTGCTGTATGTCCTGTTTGGACTAGATGGTCTAAGATGGAGCTGTTAACAGTTTTGACAACACCTTTGCTTAACCACACGAGTAGGTGCTCACGAGCCCGAATGTACAAATTCCTAGAACACCTGCCAATATAACTTGCTCCACAGGAGCAGTTGAATTGATAGATACAGAAGGAGGTGGCTAGTCTAGGTAATTTATCTTTCAACCTCGGAGTGATTATTGGTCGTGTGGAAAATACTAGTTGTAGTTTAGCTGCGTTAAAAGTCCTTTGAATTGATCTACTTAACTTAAGTCTTAACATTTCACTCGGCGCGTCACCTCTGAATTGTAAGCGTATATATCGAGGCTTTCTATTTACCGTTGGGCATTCTCTACGCTGTCTTTTATTGGCTAAGTTTTTATTTATAAATTTCTCTGGATATCCATTTTCTTTCAGGGTTGAAATGTACATAAACACGAAAGAGAAGACGATGATTTTTTTTGACCTAGCATCACTGTTCACAAATGTTCCACTCAGAGAAACTGTTGAATATATTTGTGAACAACTTAGAAAACAGGAACTAGAAACGACAATCGCTGTAGAGATCATCAAAGAATTATTACTAAAATGCACTAAGAATGTACATTTCAAATTCAATGGGGAAATCTACAGACAAATAGATGGCGTCGCGATGGGTTCACCTCTGGATCCCATATTGGCAGACATTTTCATTTCTAAACTAGAAAACGGCCCACTGGCACAAGAGATCGATAAGTTTTCATTGTACTGTCGATGTATGGATGATACATTTATCCTTTGTAACGAGCATACGGACTTGATAAGAACACTCGAGCAATTCAATACAGCTCACCCGTCCATAAAATTCACATGTGAGAAAGAAAATGGGGGTAAAATAGCCTTCCTAGATGTTCTGCTTACAAGGAGAAAAGATGGATCGCTAAAAAGAAACATAAACAGGAAAATGACCTGGACGGGTCAATATACTGATTTTTTTCAGTTTCGTTCCTCTACAACAAAAAAGGAACCTTATCAAGACATTACATCATAGAAACAAGACTATATGCACTATGGATACGATTGACGATGAAACAAAGACATTGTTTACAACCCTGAAAGAAAATGGATATCCAGAGAAATTTATAAATAAAAACTTAGCCAATAAAAGACAGCGTAGAGAATGCCCAACGGTAAATAGAAAGCCTCGATATATACGCTTACAATTCAGAGGTGACGCGCCGAGTGAAATGTTAAGACTTAAGTTAAGTAGATCAATTCAAAGGACTTTTAACGCAGCTAAACTACAACTAGTATTTTCCACACGACCAATAATCACTCCGAGGTTGAAAGATAAATTACCTAGACTAGCCACCTCCTTCTGTATCTATCAATTCAACTGCTCCTGTGGAGCAAGTTGTATTGGCAGGTGTTCTAGGAATTTGTACATTCGGGCTCGTGAGCACCTACTCGTGTGGTTAAGCAAAGGTGTTGTCAAAACTGTTAACAGCTCCATCTTAGACCATCTAGTCCAAACAGGACATACAGCAAACATGGAGCAATCTTTTGCAATAATCTATCGTGTCAACAGCAGTCTACCTAATTCCGTCAGACTGCGAATCCTACAGACGGCTGAAGCAATTGCTATTCGGATCAAAAAGCCAGAGCTTTGTATCCAAAAGAAGTATGTTCAGCCACTCCTTTTACCCTGGCCAACTAGCTAATAATCAATCTTAAAATGTGGTGACGTAATCTGATTAATGTTCATTTTATGTCCCAAACTTATTATTATTATTACTGTTACTATTATTATTATTATTATTATTATTATTATTATTATTATTGTCTTTACACTTGATAACCCTTTTTGAGGAATTTATTCAATATCCACCCCTGAATTTACTATATTTGATCTAATTATTTTACATATTACGCAATTTCCGATTTGTAATCACAATATTCTCTCTCTCTCTCTTACCCCATGTTGACCATATTTATTTTGATAATTTATCTCACAATTTCATTTCACTTATAAACTGATTCAAGTTAACACTTCATATTAGTCGTCCCAACATTAACGATTTTATTTTATATAACAAACAATTCCTGATTTACATATTAAAATTTCCAAATGATGATGTATTTTGTCTTAAATTTGGTCAATTTTATGGATTATTAATCTGGATTTATAATTGTAGAACCTGATGAGAAATTATTGAAAAGAATATTCTTCGTTCATATAATTGTGTTTTTATATAATGGGAATTTTTCAGCAATTAAAAAATTCATTTTTGTTTGGTCATCTGGATAGTGTCATTATGGTCACATACATGAATGTTCACCTGTATGCTGATTTTCCTAGTTTATGGAAATAATTCTTTTTCCTGTTTTTCACTGTTAAAACAATCCTATATGCTTTTGGTTGGTCATATCAAATCGATATGAATCTCTGAACCTAGGTTTCATTATATTTCCCACTCATCATCAAGGCGTATGTACAGCCTTAAGGGAGCTGGTGCTATTGCGACAACGGATGATTTCCTATCGATTCAGATCAGCTAGTTGTCGCCCCCCTGAATGCCCTGGTACGGCCGAGAGTGGGGAGAGTCCGCTCTCCCTCTCGAAATACTCTCACACGGCCACGCGTATACAGCCTCTGCCAGGGAAGTCCTACTCATTGCCTTCTCGTGGCAGGGGTGTTGTTTACGAAAATGAGAGGACGAAAAGCGAATGTCCGGCACTTTAACCGGATTCCAAATCAATGGTGCACATGGGCTCCAGTATCCTGCGTGAACAAATGGCGTATGAACCAATCGCTGGTCACCGGCTACCATGGGACTGCATCTCCTCACGATGCTCCACTGCCTTGTGGGTTAGACCTTTAGGTCAAAGGCTCGGGGAGTGGCCCCCTAAGATAACCACCTGCTTCGGCTTGGGCACCCGGGCAGTATCACAGCCCACACACAAATTGATGAACTCTTTATGTCTATGGAAATGACCTTTCTCGCTTTGAAAAACAAACAATTGACTCAGATTATTATCATTACAATTATTGTCATTATTAATACTAATATTATTATTACTACTATTATTGTCATTATTGTTATTATTATCATTATTATTATTATTTTCCACATTATTCACCCTCTTTTATACTTATACAGCGGCTCGTCTTTGGTGGAAATCCGACTGTATCTAAACGTTCTCGAGTCACTGTCCGGTTGAAAATTGTATGTTACCACCGAATACGAGGACTGAAGCAGATTTTCTGAAACCACGTGCACCATTCAAACTGGCTGCCTTCAACGTTCGCACATTTATGCAGGTCGGACAACAGATAGGGCTGGCTATGTCTTTGGAAAGTCTTAATATCGACGTGTGTTGTCTATCCGAGACCCGTACTCAAGACTCTGGCGAAGTACTGCAAATTCGATCTCCATCTGTCGCTTCGAAAAGCTTGTTTTACGTGCGCTTATCCGGGGACCCTGTGGCATCTTCGTCTGGTCTTGCTGGCGTTGGTGTCGCACTAAGCGCTAGAGCTGAGGCAGCACTAGTCGATTGGATCCCCATTAACAGTCGGTTATGTGCTGTCAGATTAGAAAGTTCCATCAAAGTGAGAAGAAATCGGCGTGAGAAACGATGTCTTTTCGTCATCTCCGCCTATGCTCCGACCGATTGCAGCCCGGATGCAATCAAGAGTGGGTTTTACCACCAGTTATCAGTTCTTCTCCAGAAAGTGCGTTCGACAGATATTGTAGTACTAGCCGGAGACTTGAATGCTCAGGTCGGGCGTCTAGGCACAGAAGAGAGTCGTTTAGGTGGCCGATGATGACTCGTTGGTCACAGGTCAGATAACGGGGACCGTCTACTGCAACTTTGCACAGACCACAACCTGTTTCTGGCTAGCACTAAATTTCGGCACAGTCATCGCCGATGTGCCACCTGGCGTCCTCCCTCTGCATCTCAAGCCTGGACTCAGATTGATCACATCGCGATCAGCTACCGCTGGCGTGGTTGTGTACAAGACTGCCGCTCCTTTTGGAGTACCTATCTGGACTCTGACCATGCCTTGGTCTGCGCCAATCTTGCCTTACTTTTCAGTGGACAACGAAGTGAACGCCATCAACGGATTGATGTTAGCAAGCTGGTTGCAACTTCTGTTGCAAGTAAGTATCGAACCGAGCTAGCCTCTAGGCTAGCTACCACTCCACCGAAAAGTATAGATGAGCATTGGTTGCAATTGCATGACGCCATGAAAATGGGGGGTACAGTCAGTTGTGGGTTCGCGAAACGTCCCGCTTATAAGCACTGGGTTTCTTCTGGTTCCTTACAACTCATTGAAGCCCGTCGGTCTACTCCGGGTGACCGTGAGGAAATTGGGCAAAGCTTGCGTAAGGACCGAGAAGCCTGGTGGTCGATGCGTGCTAATGAGCTGGAAGCAGCAGCTGCATCTGGTAACTGCCGGAAGCTCTTCCAGCTCATCCGAGCCACTGGCAGCAAGAAGTCTGGTGTGAGTGAAACAATCTGCGAGGATGATGGGATGCCAATCACTAACATCCATCGACGTCTTGGACGATGGGCAGAATTTTTCGAAGGGCAGTTCAACTGGCCTGCTGCTCCGGCAACATCGGTCAGACTGTCCTGCCCTCCATGGCCGGTGACGACTGATCCACCAAATGAGGAGGAAGTCCGCAAGGAACTCCAACTCTTGAAGCGTTACAAATCACCTGGCCCAGATGACTTACCTCCGGCTCTTTTTAAAGATGGTGGTGACTTTTTGACTAAGGAATTGACGACGTTGTTTACAAAGGTTTGGGAACTAGAGAGTGTACCAACGTCATGGAATGAGTCGATAGTTGTCCCTATCTTTAAAAAGGGTTCACGTCGTTCCTGTAACAACTATCGGGGGATAAGTTTACTTCCGATTGCGTCCAAGCTATAGGCTTCCGTCATTCTTCGTAGGTTGTTCAAAACCCGAGAAAGATTGACTCGCGAGGAGCAGGCTGGGTTTCGTTCTGGTCGAGGATGTATTGATCATATCTTCACCCTCCGCCAAATGTTAGAACACCGCCATACTTTTCAAAGGCCAACAATCGTAGTGTTTCTTGACATCAGGGCTGCCTTCGATTGGTTGGATAGGACTGTTCTCTGGGATTGTCTATTGAAGAAGGGTGTGCCTGAGAAGTTTATTAACATCCTAAAAGCCCTGTATAAAAACACCCCAGGCAGAGTGAGGGCATACAACCATCTCTCTCCATTGTTCCATTCGAGCAGTGGGGTTAGGCAGGGTTGCCCAATCTCACCATTCCTCTTCAACTTTGCCATCGATGACATTCGGGAAACAGCTCTGATGAATGTAAGTAATGGTGGTGTGGATCTGTTGCCTGGAGAAAGACTTCTCGACCTTGAGTATGCGGATGATATTGTCTTACTGTGCGATAATGCCCAAGCCATGCTATCCGCACTTAATCAGTTGGCAATCAGTGTCCGTAGGTATGGTATGTGCTTTGGACCTTCGAAGCACAAAGTACTTCTACAAGACTGGCGGGATTCTAATCCTGTACTCACCCTGGATGGTGAGCAGATAGACGTAGTCGAGAAGTTCGTGTGTCTAGGTGGCTGCATAAATGCTGGTGGGGGTGTGAATGATGAGATCAATGCACGAATAGTGAAAGCCAGAGCGGCTTATGCCAATCTGGGCCACCTTTGGCGCCTTCGTGATGTTAGTCTGGCTGTAAAAGGTCGGATCTACAACGTGTCGGTGAGAGTAGTTTTGTTCTGTGCTTGTGAAACCTGGCCACTCCGAGTTGAGGACGATAGACGACTCTCTGTGTTCGATCATCGTTGTCTCCGAAGGATTGCTGACATCCAGTGGCAACACCATGTCAGTAATGCAGAGGTTCGGCATCGTGTGTTCGGGCACAGAGATGATAATTCAATTGGTGTCACCATCTTGAAACACCGACTTCGGTGGCTTGGACATGTTCTCCGAATGTCGTCCCAGAGAATTCCACGTCGTGCATTATTTGCCGACTCTGGGACTGGTTGGAAGAAGTGGAGAGTTGGTCAGTGCATGACATGGTGTCGTGGCATGAAAGAAAGCTGCAAAGGACTGGCTTGTGTTGGTCCTTCACGACTCCCTGGTTGGGGTCCGAGAGATGGTTCTACACAGTGGCTAGAGACGTTATCAGATATGGCTCAGAATAGAAGCCAGTAGCGATCCTGCTGTAACCTTCTTTTACTTTCTTCATAAAAAGTGGTTGTGTCTCCTTTACCTGAAAGATTTCTTCTGATTGTACCTTTTCGTTCCGTCGTTACTACCACACTACCTTACTCCAATCTCTTCGTCATTGTTCTCTTTTTCTTTTGCGTTCCTTAGTTTTTTTTTCTTTCTACTTCTCTTCGAATTCTCATTGTTTTGTGTGGCGCATATATATTGGCGCTCTCTTGTACCAATATTTATGTGTTCAAATAAATAAATAAATAGTTGTCGCAACACAACTTGATCGACAAGATTCAGTTAGCCATAAAATCCAGGCAAGCATAGGATTGGTTACTATATATTCGGTGTTCTGTAATAATGAAGGCAGTTAGTATGGTTTGTGATGAATCTATTAATTTCATCATGTATACGGTTGTGGACAAACTTTTGAAATCTTGCAAACAGTTAAGATGTAATATTTTATCTATTACAAATCATCCATTTCGTTCACATCTTTCCGTTGCATATTCTCCGGAGAAACTAGACTCAGTTACATTAAAATACAGGCACGCAAAAAAAGTACAGGAGCTCTACAACACTGTATTTAGCACACACTGTGCGATGACTAGATTATAGCAGCTGTCCTAATCAAAACCTTACACTCTTAAACATGTCGTCAATTGATTGATGTATAGATTGTGTCATTCAATTTTGGATAATTTAACAATTACAGTATAGAAATCGCAGCATAGAATACGCAACACATGAACAACAAATATATATATATATATATATTGTTGTTCACGTGTTGCGTATTCTATGCTGCGATTTCTCTACTGTACTAAAAATATTATATTGAATAATTGCATTATTACTATTGGTCAGTAGTCAATTATTGTAAGCACTGTTTGCAGATGAGTTAGTTCACAGCTCGTTTGGATAACTTGGAAGAAAATATCGATCGGATTTTTCTATATATGTCTAGAGATGTTTAACTTTTATAGTAATAATAAAATAAATGAAAGATTGATAGATCTCGTATTATACTCATTGTTGATTATACTTTTTCCTTAGATATTCAAATGTGTCATTCTCTTTTTTCCGTTTTACTCTCCCTTTTTTGTAGACATATACCCCTGTATCTTCGTCAGAATTAGGAAGAGTTGATTCATTAACTCTACCTTTATCAACAGTGAATTCTTCTAACAGCATTATACCACAATATATTACAGAAACTAATCGAATTATTGACAATGGTCTTTCATCTAAAAATTTATTTTATTCAAATTCTGGTCTTGATCTTACTGATACACATTATTTTACATTGACAGGGGCTACTGAAGCGATAGATTTATCACTTGATCCCTCTGTAGATATAATAACTGTAAATCCAATTGATTTAAGTTCCTCACAACATTGTACAACATTGTTTTTTGAATCGTCAAACGAATGTACCGATAATACATTCTTTACAACACATACAATATGGGATCCTGAACCAGGTTTCAGTTTTACCGACCTCTTACTTACTAATAATGATGAAGAATGCGAAACGGAATTCCCTGAAGTTATAATTTACCCTGAAAATGCTATTTATCGTTCAAACGAAACGTTAACTTCTTTTACTACAACTAGCCACAATGATACTACTAACAAGACCGTAATCAGTAGTGAACTGAAAATACCAGATACACATATCTCATCAATGAATAACTGTTATATTCCATCAGATACACTAACGACGACAATAGAAACAACCTTAACTGGAGGAGTCGGTGGAGAAGGAGGTTATAACATACAACCACCACCTTTAGACTTACGCTTAATACAGTCCAATAATTTTTATTCATAAAAATTATCTTTTGTTTTAGAAGAAAATGTACATTATCTCTTGTGAATATTGTTCATATTTGCATACACTCTAGTATTTCTTTTTATCTTCCCCATTTTATCTATTCATTTCACAGCGTTTTGTCTTCAAAATATAGTCTATTCATATGTCATGTTGTATATATGCTAACAGATTTCTATTATTTTCTTTCCTGGTATAAATATATACTTTCTTCGGAAAGTGTGTTAGGTCTTTTTTGACACTTAAATAGGAGTTTTGTACTGTTTATGTATGTAGATAGAATTGATTGAATGCTTCTTGTTCTAAATTTTTTTTGGTAATGTTTGTGTATATGTGTGACTTCCCTATGTTACTCACTACTTATCGGTTTTAGTATTCGGCTGTGAGTCACATTTTGTTTTTGTGTGAACGTTGGTACTACCATTTAGCTGCCCATGCTAAAGTAGATGTAGGGAGGTTAGACTATGCAACGCTAGCATTTTATTTACTCAATCGACGCTCTACTGATCGTTTGTGTGGCCAAATTGTTTCATGACTGGATTGTATCCCTGCAGTCAAATTTAAGATTATATAATTATATTATTCGTTAGTTTTTGTATAGAATCTAATCTGACAGATTACATATGCTATTTATTGCATAATAATACATCTGTTAATTTTTTTTAAAAACGTGATATACGTCACCTTATTTTAGAGTAATCAGAATATTTTACTGATTGTTTTTAAGGAATTAACTTCTGGTAGATTGTACAATTTGTGAGTTCATACATAATCTAACGAAGTGCAACACTTAATTTAGTCATTTATGCGAGCGCATAAAAATCTGGTTACAGCATAGCACCAAAGAAATGTAATGCGTCACATAAAGCAAAAATAACTTTGTGAGGAAAATGGAGGACTTTAGAAGAGAAGAAAAGAGTTCATAAACAAAATAATTTACAAGAGCAGTGTGTAATGGAATAAACAGTTTAGTTAAAAATATAAATGATACAGCTTAGAATTCTTTCGTTTAAAGGAGTTCCCCACACATTTTTGAAGAATGCAAAATAGCGTCACTATTGGTTCTTTTTTTGAGCTGTGTGTGGTAACGTCTTGATTTACTGTGTTGCATCATCTGAACTCCGACCAGAGAGTCATGTTGCAATATTTCCATAGCATGCCGTCATGTCATAGATTAACCGTCTCTTGCTTTTGGGGATCACTCTAATTAAACGCAGAGAGCCGCTTGAGATCTTCAAATTGGAGAGGTTAGGTTTCAAGAGCACAGTATAAAATCGCTCTCACCGATACGTTGTAAACCCAAATCTTTACAGCTAGAATAGCATCATGAAAGCTATATTTGTACAAGGCACTCTGACTTCCGCTATTTGTATACTGATTTCATTAGTCAGATCACCAACACTCACGCAACTACACAAATTCATGAACTTTCAGGCTTCTAACAGTATATTTCCAACAGTGATTGCAGCCTCAGCTTACTGTTAGCCTTGAAAAATACTTAACACCTCGAGGATACAAAGCACCTACCATACTTACTCATACTGTGGTGATATATATAGGTACACAGAAAAGATAGACTGCTAAATCTACCAGGAATAAGTAGTGCTAGATTCTTAAAGTTTTCAATTAAATTTTGAAAATAATTTCTAAGGAGGGAAGGGATATCACTAGTTAACTGATCTTCAACAGTAAGTGTGAATGGCATACTTTTAGTTTAACTGGCTAAACTAATTATGTGTTAGATCAGAGTTTAACTTGAGACCGGATTTCTAATATATCATCTCTTAACAATAAGCTACTCGGATACTATTGTATCGACAGGTGTCTTATATTCATATTTATTAATATAAGATTATAATAAAATAGTTGATGTAAAAAAATAAGATTTTTAAAACGTTTGGCCTCATTTTTGTAGTTTATTTTGTGTAGTTTAAATGTTTGACCTCTTGAAAACCCGAATTCTATTTAATTGGTTGTTATTTTATAGATATGATTTATGGCCTGTAAATAAAACTGAACACAGAATGAACTTGATCTAGATAACATGACTAGATCTATTTTGATTGCATTAAATATTCTGCTTTTTTCTCTGTACTTTGTAAACTTGTGTTAAATTAATCTGGTTATTGATTTGTATATTCTCTGAAGAAGTGACCTACACTAAGTTGCAAAACGTCATTAATTCAATTTCCTACTAATATAGATATTAAAATCATCTATTATTTTATTGTCATAAATGGTACACTCAATGTTCAATTTATCTAAAAATATGAAGTCAATACTTAGTCATAAACGATATGCACCAACTGTATTGATGTTGTTAAGTAACTTTATTTGCACTTCTATTTTTCGCCTCAATGATTTTTTGTAAAACTATCAATAACTGAATAAATGTTTACTTTTGTGAATATATTCTACTTTTTATCTGAATGCAGAACTTGTATTTTCATTGCCTTTTTACTCGACGAGAAATAATCTTCAGTATCATAGTGCTTAGTAAGAGCCAAAACCTTACAAATATGTATCACGCTTAAATATCTTATGTACACCCTAGGATATCTTTATAAATCTAGTATTTGAAATAAATGTATAACATGTTAGAGGTTTTCTAGTTAGTAATTGATTCTGTTTTCAGATCTTGTTTCTTGTCTTGTATGTATTTAGTTATTAACCGTATACTTAGTTATCGTATGATTATGTTTAAAAATAAGTAACATGCAAATTTCAGTAAAATTGGATCGGTGATAGCAGTCGAACCAAGTTGTTTTCTATCTAGACACAGTAGATCAGTATATAATACATTAGTATTTGTAGTGAAAGGTATTGTGCTTGAGTCTCTGTGTGAACATCAACACTAGGCTCATGGTATAACCATCTAAAGACACTGGGATAGGGTGAGAAAAACGAAAAGGTGATCAGTCTATAACATTGAACTGTAGTATCCACCGTATGCATTTGTATAACTTGTGATCAAAGGTGCTATCGGGACAATCCCATTAAGATACAGATTTGCTTATCGATACTGATCAAGTGGCGTTCTTGATATGTAGCTGGCATACTTTTCATAAAAGATTGATCAATCTATGTTGGTATAGTCCATTTTTACAGACAAACTAATAATTTTGTTTACTTATTGATTTATTTTATGTATATATATTCATAGTTGGTCGGTAAATTATTTGACTGTCAGATCAATAGTGCTAAAATTAATTATGATTACAGTTTGCTTTTCTTGAATGCAAAAAACATTACATTCATACTCCGTACTGAATAATTAAAAAAATTGAATGTGCATGATTTCATAAGATGATATCTCTACAAAGCATAACACTGTTTAGCATATATTTTGTTCAGTACATAGCCAAAGGTATTTCTTCACTTGATCAGATCAATGTTTAAATGTAATCGAGTAAACAATCATTGTTCCTCACATAACTGACCTTGTGTTGGTAAGTGGTTTATGGGTATTAATCCAATTCAGTGGGAATATAATCTGAAATTACGATTCTGTTGTTTGTCAGTCTGACTAAAACTATTTTTTTATTGGTTTAGGTTCTATGAATTTGTTAAGTTAAATAATCAAATAACCCTCCCTAGTGATTAACTTCAAGGTAGATTTCCGAAACACTAGGCAGATCCAGTGTACAGTATTGTTCAAATATCAAGGATGAGACTGTTATTAGTTACGAACGAACTTTACTCACTGATTCACTTAACTTTACAAAGGGAAGCATTGTAAACAACATGTATGCCATGAGATTTAGACATCCTAATTTGAATCTTGTGTTGGGTTCTAGGTATACGCAGTGGTTGTACATTGTATCAAACTAGAATGTAACAGTTGTGTTCAGTGCATTTTAGTTTCTAACAGTTCTTCAACGGATAATATAATTCAGTATAACTCAGTTACTTAGACTCAACTTTGTAAGGTTTTAACATATTAAATAACACCAAGTCATATAATTTGTTTTCTCTTTGTGTAAAAAACAACTTAGTCAAATCAACCGTTCAAATCAGATTCACAATCGCATCATATGGAATGTGTCAATCTAACTCCTTTTGGTGAATTTCTAGTATGGACTGCGGAAGGTTAGTCGCATTGTACAGAATTTTTAAAAAAACTTTCATACTCATTTTCTGCTTCAGTAAGTGTTTGTTGAATGTTTTAAAATGACACGGAGCTACAGCTATGCTCATGATAATGATAATAAAACTGCTCGTTTTATTTCATTCCAAATGTTCAACTACAGTAAAGCATTCTCAGTACAAAATATACAACATGACAGCAAATTTTTCATTTTATGAATATTTGAATTGTGAGTATTCGAAAAGTATGAGTCAAAATTTTTTGAACATTCATTTACTACCATTTTTATATGTTTATCCATAATTTATGCTCCGATCATATCTTTTTCCATCGATAAATATATTTGATGCATGAATTCTCTAGTAACCATCTTTCATTTCTCCAAAGGACAGACGATCATGAGGAAAATGTACAAACCACCATGGTGGTACTTCTTTTATTTTTTAATCATCAGATTCATAATAAGTTATAAACATTTTCTAGAAGCATTTTATTGAAATGCTTAAATAGTGTAATTAAAACACCAATATAACAGGATAATTTTTGACATTCAATGCACATTTGGTAACATGATGACTGCATCTCCTGACTTTATTCCACTGCCTTTTGGATTAGACCTTTAAGTTGAAGGCTCCGAGTATAACCCCCAAAGGAAACCACTTGTTTCGGTTTGGGCAGCCGGACAGTATCTCACCTCTCACACAAATCGAATAATTTATGTGCCGCATATCTATTTGGTGCCTCCTAGTACCATTGTTTATGTGTTTAAATAAATAAATGACACAAACGTTTCACAAGGCCACCGAACTATATCACTATAATAATAATTTTAATTATTTACAAAATATATTTCGAATTTATTAATTAGTGTACGTTTTATTTAATTTTATGATACCGTTTGCTTTAATTTATGACTTGACTTGTTTTCATTAACAATAATTATTTATCCATTATGCTTATAGCTTTATCATTTACTTCGATGAAATAGTCAGTGTTATTTTCAGCTTTCATATATTATCGTTACAATCAACTCAATTTGTATATAAAAG